AGAGCCAAACACAGGCAGGCTGGGGGCGTGAGACGCTGAGTCTAAACCCCATTCACTTGAGTATGATTGTGAGATGTGACTTCACTTTCTAAAACCCAGCTTCTTCATCAATAAATAGAGATCAGGTTAGACCTTCCTTCTCAGAGTCAAGTGCAGACTAAATGTGACAGCCATGTGCGGTCTAGGTCCAGATGTGCCATTACAATCATGGGTAAAAGCCGGGCATAGTGGCACATGCCTTTCATCTCAGCAGTCAGGAGGCAGAGGCAGGAGGACAACCGTGGGGTCAAGGCCAGCCTGGTCTACATAATGAGTTCCAGAACAGTCAGGGCTACATAGTGAGATCCTGTCTTGGAAAAGAAATCAAGGGAAAAACTTCCATTAGACGCTTTAATGCCTTAAATGCATGATTACTGAGTAGTTTAATATGGAGTCACGTGATGTTTGTGTTTTAAATGTGTTGCCAGATGGCTCAGAGTTTAACTGCATCATTGCTATTGCAACTTTTTATTAAATTTTTTCATGTCTTAAAAATATTCTAAAATCTTAGAAGGAAATGCCTTAAGGCTTTAAGTGTTTTTCTTTAATGTTTTCTGAATAAATACAATTTTCAAATGAATAATGTCCATCAGGGAAATGCAAATCCAAACCACACCAAGGCCGTCAAGGCCCCAGCTCTCATTCTTAACACCCATATAAAAGCTGGGTGCAGTGATGCATACCTATAACACAGAACTGGGGTGTGGAGTCAGGAGGATCCCTGGGGTTTGGTGGCTCTCAACTTTAATCCCAGAACCCAGGAGGCAGAGATAAGTGGGTCTGTATGAGGTCCAGGCCAGCTTGGTCTACATGGTGAGTTCCGGGCTAGCCAGGGCTACTTAATGAGACCCTGTCTCAAAACAGAGAGAGAGGGGGGTGTGGAGGAAGATTGAGCCTGATAGGCTCCTTGGTCTCCCATGTGCTCACACACACACAAGCACACATCGCATGCATACAGTAGAATGGCTGTCCTGAGTTAATGGCACCCACATTGTCTTCTGTACTTCTTTGTAAAAGAACTCTGACTTTCTCTGTAAGCCATTTTCAAGGACACAGCCCACCAGTGCAGTCACCGTATGAGAGACCCTCTCCACTCAGAGCCAAGACCCGCACACAGTCAGGGCTTCCTTTCCCAGCATCACCAACAAAAGTTCCATGCTGAGTTTCACTGGGCAGGTTTGACATTACCAATTACTGTGGCAGAAGGGATAGAATTTCCTCATTGACCAAACTGAAAGCGCTATGCATTCTGGGAACTAGAGGGCAGTATCCACAGTCAAGTTGGGGCATGCTGGCAAGCTCCAGACTCAGTGACAAACCCTAGCTTAAGGGAATAAGGAAGTGATGGATAGAGGACACTCAATGTCCTCCTCTGGCCACCACACATGTGTAAGTTCATGCATAGCATGTACACATGTACATGCACACAATTTTTTAAACATCTAGTCCTTATAGAACTCTCTTTGCCAAAAATATCCATGAACCATGAGTATGCAGTCAATAGTAGCAATAGCTTAGGATGGGTAGATTTCTCTTTTTTTCTTAATTATGTCTCCTGTATTGAATCCAATGTGATGCACTGCCCCTTGAGGTGAATACCATCGTCTTATCATCATATCTCTTATGATCTGAACACAGAGCCATGAATGAGTAAGAGACTCTCAGAGAGGTTAAGTGACTGCACAGACAGAACACAGACTTTTATCTCTTGGGTTCAAAGACCCGTGATCTTTTTTTACATTAGCATATTATTCCTCCAAGATCCTCTCTTGTCCCCTCTCTCCCCTCCCACAAGGATTCATCTCCCCAAAGTTTCCCCCTCTACTCTCTTGTCTTCTTTTTTTATCTAGATTCTGCTCTTGAGTGAAAACATACAACATTTGTCCTTTTGAATCTGGCTCATTTCACTTAACATGGTCTGAAGTCCCCTCCCTTCCCATCAAACTGCATGGCTTTGTTCTTCTTTGGGGCTGAATAATACTCTGTTGTGTACCTGTACTGGCTTTTCTTTGTCCATGCACCCGCTGATGGACATCGGGGCTGGTTCTGTGTCCTAGCTATTGTGGAGAGTGTTACATGTTACACGGATGTGCAGGTGTCTCTAGAACAGTGTAGACCCCTGTGGGTGTAGATTCTGGAGGCAGACAGCTGAATCCCATGGTGGTTTCTTTTAGAGATTCTCATGGTTATTTCCCCAGTGGCTAGATTAATTTGCATCCTCACCCACAGTGAAGGCTTCTTTCTGCTGATCCTTGCCCTCATTCTTGGTGACAGCGGTTCCCACTTTGGTGAGGTAAATTTTTTTTCTTTCATTGAAAAAGAATCAGAAAATATATTCTGATCATGTTTTTTCCCCCATCCCTCAACTTCTCCTAGATCTTCCCACCTCCCCACCCTCCCAACTCCTCTCTCCTCCCTCTTAAAAAAAAGCAAAACAAATAAAAACACAAAAAATGAAAACCAAAATATACACGTAAAAGACTAACAAGGCAAAAAAAATGCCCAAACAATGCAAAATGAGGCCAAACACCTACAAAAATGGCACTCGGTTTTTGCATTGACCAACCACTCCTGGGCTAACCCTAACCCTTAAGTGTGGTCTGTACACCCAGTGAGACTCTGTTGGGAAAAACTAATTTTTCTTTTGTCAGTGGGCATCAATTACAGACAGGGTCTGGGTTGGCTTGTGTTCTCTTCCCCTCCCAGTGCTGGGGCAGCATCTGGCTTGAACCTGTGCAGCCATGTATGCTTTGCCACAGCCTCTGTGGGTTCATTTGTATGTCAGTCCTGCTGGGTCTGGACGACACTTTCCTTGGAGTCATCCATCCCCTCTGGCGCTTACACTCTTTCCGGTGAGGAAGAGTCTTAATGTAGTCTTGATTTTCGTTTACCTGATTAAAAAACCCATGATGCCATGTCTCTCAGTGTTGTGAAGGTGAGACAAAGAACTTGCTTGTTCCCTATTTCCCACACAGGACCTACAGAAGAGAGTTACAGAGAAATTCTGACTGCATGGAGCATCAAAGCTCCCACAAAAGAATTGATGGTAGTGGCACACCCCTATAATCCCAGAACTCAGGAAGCAGAGGCAGGCAGATCTCTATGAGTTTGGGGCCAGCCTGGTCTAAAGTAAGGTTCAGGACAGCCAGGCCTAGACACAGAGAAGCTCTGTCTCAAAAAGAAAATAGTAATCATCATCATCATCATCAAAAGAATAAGAATTAGGGATCTCATGCCTATAATCCTACAGCTTGGGAGACTAAAGCAGGAGAGTATCCTGGGTTCAAGGCCAGTCAGAGCTACATAGTGAGCCCTTGTCTGAAAAAGACAAGAACAAACAAAAAGCAAAACAAAACCAAAGGCACTTGGGAAGGAGAGTGCAGAGAGCCCCAAGCCCAAGCCTCGAGCTCTCAACAATGCATGTGTGAATTAAGCCTTTGGCACAGATCTGAAGCTGGATTGACATTGGCTGAGGCCAAAGGGATGGACTGAGGCAAGCTCAGAGGCCTCCTGACAGATGCGGTATCTCACAAGACGCCGTTCATCTGCATGATGAATGTGAGGCATGGGCTCCCACATCCCTAGAAACAACCTCCCACAACCCCTCTCCACTTGGCCTCGGAGCCAGCTCCCACTCCCCTCTGTGGGTTTCTCCCCCTCCTCCCAGGGTGGAACCCTGAGAAAGTCCCTTGCCTAACCCTCCCTAACAGCCCTCACACCTTGGTCACAATAGCTCTGCTTCATAAATCACACAGATGCATTGGCTGTCCTGCAATCAATCTCTTCCAGGTGTTGACTCCAATGTCTCTCAAGGAGAGTGTCTCGCCCCTCGAGGCTTAGGCGCTAAGAGCCTGCTGTCTGGGAGCAGTTTAAAGCCAGATCCTGTCTCTTCTCTCTCTGAATCTCTTGGTTCAAGCCCAACACCCCCTCCTCTAAGCCTTTGCAAACCATAGAGAGCCTTAGAAAATCTCCCGATGTGACTGAACAGATTCTGGGACAGTAGATGACCAGGCTAGCCCACTCCAAGGCTTGATTAACACAGCCAACATTTGATAACCCCTGGCCTCCATAGCACTTACTTCCCAGGGGCAATCTAACCCCCACAGAGGCATGTAATGAAAGGATTGGGTCTAGCCCAACTGTGAATAGATTCATTTCAGAGAGTCATTTCATGTGGGCCATCCCCAGGATTGGTCGGGCCCTTGGATGACAGAAATAAATCTGGAATTCATTGGGAGACAGGCAGTGTCATGCTACTCCTGGAAAACAAAAAACAAAAAAACAGTTCTTACAGTTTGACTCCAAAGTTTCTTCTTCATCCTTGAGTGGGGCTACAGATCACCCATGACCTTCTGTGATCTTTCTTTGGTCACCCCAGAGACTGTGCCTTCTGAATAGGAAGTTTGAGGGGTTCTAGTCCCAGTGTGTAACTGCAAGGCAGGACTGCCCAACTTCTGCTGGTCTGTGTTGAAAGTCTCTGGTTGAAGCTACTGAGTTCTATGGATGTCAATCCAATGCCACCTCATCTCCCCTAGGAGACTACAGTCTACCATCTGCTTCTGGATGCCACGTGTAGAACCCATCTTAATGTGTAAAGTCATGGCAGTGTAGGGAGTGGTGTGTCTGCTAGCAAGAACTTTTCTACCCATCCATACACTGGATCCACCCACCCATCTGCCATCTCATTCATCTTCCATCTGTCCACCCACCTGTCCATCAATCTACCTACCTCTCCACTCAACCATTAACCATTCATCCACCCAGCCTTTGATCTATCTATCTATCTATCTGTCTGTCTGTCTGTCTGTCTGTCTGTCTGTCTGTCTGTCTGTCTGTCTATCCACACACTGACCTGGCCATCTTTCTCTTTAGCTATGCATTGAATCTATTCATCCACCCACCCATTTATCCATGAATTGGATAAATTATAATCAATTTATCACAAGCAAGCCACCTTTTCCTTGCATCAAGAGTTTAAGTCCAACCAGAAATTCAGAGAACACGGATGTAGCTTTCAGGTGCTGGAATCTGGGCATGGAGGCGAGTGTGGACACGGATGCGTCTTCACTTTCCACCTTCTCAAAGAAAGATGGTTTCTGTCGAGTCCAATGTTGGCTGCACAGCACTGCGATGGCAGCATGCCCGAGTTGCTCGTGAACTTCCCCTTTAGGAAAGGGAATGAAGAGATGAGTCCCCACTAAAAACATTGTCAGCTCACAGCCCTCAGCTGTCAAGCTGTCAGAGATGGCCTCATCAACAGAAAGCCACCTCTGCCAAGGTCACCGTCTTTTCCTGCAGTGGCTCACGTCCAATGATAGTTTTATGGGGAGGTGTAAAGGACTCTGGTCCTGTCTCCAACATGGAACAGCTTAGATTAACCATTCCAGTCTCAAAGATGGTGGTCCATAGAAGCTAAGGGGGCCACCCATTATCCCTTTGCTTTTATTCTCACAGCCTTGTAGACTCCCCTCCTCATGGATGTAGGTAGGACCTGTGTCTAGTTCCTAGAATGTATAAGAGGGACTGGAAAATCAGCTCAGTCAGTAAAGTGCCTGATGTGATCCCCAGGAGCCATGTTAAAAAAAAATAGCCAGGGCCCGAGACACATGCTTGTGATCCCAGAGCTGGTAAGGCTAAGACACACAGATTCCAGGGCTCCTCAGCCAGTTGGCTCAGTCTATTTGGAGCTCTAAGCCAGAAAAAAAAATCCTGTCTCAAAAAACCAAGGTGGACAGCACGTGAGGAATAAATATCAAGGCCAGCTCTGGTGCCCACATGCACATGCACACAGAAACTCATGCTATATATGCACACGCACACACACTAAAACTTATAATGCAGAAGAGAATGATACTGTCACTCTGGCAACCAATCTTGTAAGACCAGGACACCAGCTTTCTCTGGGGTGCCTTGTTGGCTTTGATGAAGCTAATGACCATGCTGGGGACACACACTGGCAGGAAACCAAGTGTGGCTTCTAGCAACAGTCAGTCCTGAAGCCTGAAGGAAACTGAATTCTCCCAAGAGCCTTGGGGTTTTAGAAACGGGCCTTTGCACAGCCCATCCTTAATTGGGACCCACACTGAGGATTGTCAGATCCTGAATCATGGGACCATGAATCACAGGAGGCATGTCAGGACACCTGACCCTCACAAGCTACAAAATGCTGAACACATGCCAGACTTGTACCAGGTACAGAAATAGGCAAACTTACCCAGGGCTGTCTGTGGGGTCTGCCCCAGGAAGGCCTTGCCACAGCCTGCTCCTCCCCCTGTCTACTCCTTCATTCTCTCCTTTGTACCCCACGTTTTAGTTCCAAGAACACCCCCTAATAAACCTCTCAAAACTAAATTACACTGCGACATAGCCAGTGCTTTTATATTCCCCTTTCTGTTTTGAGGGTAAACCACTGGTTTTGATTATTTGACCTTATTATTCCAGAGAGACGTGTCCTAGTCTTCAGGTCAATGGGTGAGGTGGGTGAGTGAGTGAATGGAAAAATGGATGAGTAGATGGAATGGATGTGTGTATGGGTGGAGGGAGGATGAATGGATGTGTGGATGGTTGGTTATATGAGTAGGTGGATGGATGGTTGGATTAATGTCTAGATGATGTGTAGATGGGTGGAAAAGTGGACGGATGGGTGAGTGGCTGGGTGGATGATTGGATGGTTGATGGGCAGATAGGTGAATGGAGGATGGGTGGGTGGATGAATGGATTATATAATGGATAAGTGGATGGGTAGACAAGTGAATGAGGGATGTATGGATTGATGGTAGACAGATGAATGGATGAGGGGTTGGAGTGGATGAGCAAATGGATGAATGGAGGATGGGTGGATGGATGGATGGATGGATGATGTGTGGAAAGACAGGAATGGGTAAACGGATAGAGGGGTGACTGGGTGAGTGAGTGAATAGATAACACCACTTCCCTCCTTGCTTCCTGATGTCCCCCCCAATCAGGTGACTCTACCACCCTGCAGACCTTAGCTCACACCTCTGATCATTTAGGACATTTTGTGAGCCTTAAGTCAGGGGCAGCATGAGGCATGAAGTTGCTCTGGCTCTTTCCGTAATGTGCCTGATATACTGTTGAATGAGAGCAGAGGAACAGTGTACAGCTCCTATATGTGCCTGTCACCTGCTGCCACTCTCCCCTGAGAGCACAGATGACAGTGTCAGGCTAGGATCCCTTTTGGATCTACCAGGGACTTTGATCTGCTGTGTGACATTCTTTGCCCCAGCTCCTTCCCTTCTCTGAGCTTTAGTTTTATCCTGTCAAATATGGACATTGAATGTGTTAGTCTCTGGGTCTCCATCCTCACTGTCATTCAAAATTTTATCTCCAGTGTTATACACATGAAAGAGAGAAGGACAGACTTGGAGGATGGGGGAAGCAAGAAGAAGAAAGGAGAGAAGGAAAGGAGAGGGGGAATGAGAGAAGTAAAATTGGATTTCTAGATAAAGCCACAGGCCCCTCTTACTCCCCTCAGCATCTCCTAAGAAGTCACCACTGATAATGCTCCACCACCAAGGTACATCAAAGCCCTAAGAATGTCATAAGAGTGTCTGTCCTGTTGGGAAATGGTCTGCCCCTTTGTCCCTACAGGTCTGGATTTAGGGTTCAGTCTGAAACCGTGACTCTCCACTTCCTCGCCATCTCCTTGCCCCAAATACAGAAGAGTGCCCGGCTCTGGAATGCAATTCTAGAGTCTAAATGGTAGTTCTTAACCTGTAGGTCGAGACCCCTCTAGGGTCGCATATCAGATATCCTGCATATTAGATATTTACATGACTAGGTAGCAGTGAAAATAATTTTATGGTTGGGGATAACCACAACATGAGAACCGTGTTAAAGGGTCGTAGCATTAAGAAGGCTGAGAACCACGGGTCTAGAGCTGAAAGTGTCAGGGGTGGAGGTGTGGGGCTGGCCAGCAAGGAGAGAGGCTGATCGTCTCTCCCCTCCTCTTCCCCGTCTTCCCCCTCCTCCCCTTTATCTTTCTCTTCTCTCCCTCCCCTCCTCTTCTCTCCACTCTCACCTCCAAATTTCCAGAATCTACTTTCAGCCTCTTTGAGGTCAGGGCTGTGTCCTGTTTTGTGAGCGGTGGAGGGGAAGCCAGGTGAGCCACTCTGGCAGACAGAAAGAAACCTCCTAGGGCATGAGCATAAGGAACACGCGCCACAGTGAGCTTGGGGTCCCGATTCCCAGGCTGGGAAGGAAGACGGAGAAGTCGTGTCTCTCTCAGCAAGATAAGCCCACCCCATCCATCCTCCCTGACACTATCTGCAGGACTAGCTGTCTCCTCCTGGGGGAGGGGAGAAGCAGGACTTTAGAAACAGGATGCCCTGGCTGGCCAACTTCCCCCAAGAAAGGGATTTCCAAGCTGAGAGGGTCGTGCCCTTCGCTCGGGCCGCCTTGGCCTGCCCCAGGTGCTGGGTGCTGAGCACTGGGTGCTGGAGACGCAGCCTTGTCTAGTCCTCTCTCTGAATCTCCTCCCAGCAGACTGGAGCCACTTGAAACTGCAGCTTGTCTCTCTCAAGTGGCAGGGGAGGGGAGAGACCCAGAAAGAGAAAGTGAGGGAGCGGGAAGGCATAGTGCCGCCACTCTAGTGATCTCCAGACCTTCCAGGGTGTACTGTGGCCATTCTTACTGCTGTGAAGTGGGTGGGCTGTTCTCCCTGTCTCAGATAACAAAGTTGAGACTCAGAGAAGTTAAGTAACTCGCCTGGGGTCACACAGAGGACTCACAGGCTGGAACAAACCTCTGACAACCTCACTTAGGAGGCAGCACTCTGGGGAAAGGCCGAGTTAATCAAAGGACGACCCTACACCAAATTGGAGTCGGCTTCCTGAAGCTTCTCCCTGTTAAGTCAGCTGAGTGACCCTCACTCTTCATCTCCCCATCTTCAATATCCAATCCCCATTTATGGTCCTCCCATTTCTCCAGCAGGCATCCTGGTGGTGGATGTGGCCAGTGACTCTTGAGGTTCCATCTTAGCCATGTCTGTTCATAGATGCTGCCATCCCTGGGCTGATTGCCCCACCCCTGCGCACACTGAGCCTGGCAAAGGTGAGCTTGATCTCTCACCTCCCACTGCCTGATCCAGTTGAGAGCTTCCTAAGCTGTCACTATTGATGCCACCTTGAATAGCACCTGCAAGGCTAGCCTTTCAAAGTGCCGTGACTATTTTCCCTTTTCTTGTGTGTGTGTGTGTGTGTGTGTGTGTGTGTGTGTGTGTGTGTGTGTGTATTGGTTTGAATGCAACTGGTCCCCCATAATCTCATAGGGAGTGGTATTGTCAGGAGCTGTGGCTTTGGTGGAGTGGGTATAGCCTTGTTGGAGGAAATGAGCCACTGTGGGGGTGGACTTTGAGGTCTCCTGTGCTCAGGATACTGCCCAGTGTCTCAGCTGACTTCCAGTTGCCTGCAATATGTAGAACTCTCAGCTACTACCCCAGCACCATGTCTGCCTGCATGACATCCTGCTCCCTGCCATGATGATGATGGACTGAACCTCTGAAACTGTAAACGAATCATCACAACTATGTTTTCCTTATAAGAGTTGCTGTGGTCATGATCTCTCTGCACAGCAATAGAAATCCTAAGACAGTTGGGGGGGGGATGGAGTGAGAGAGGGAGAGGAGGATGGAAAGAAAGGAGGCCAAGGGACAACATCAGATGTCATTCTTCAGAAGCCATCCCTCCTGTTTATTGTTGCTTTTGTTTTATTTTTCTTTTTGTTTTATTTAAATTAGAAACAAGATTGTTTTACATGTAAACCCCAGCTCTTTCTCCTTCCTCTCCTCCCCTGACCCCCTATCCCATTCCCTTTCTGCTCCCCAAGGAGGGTGAGGCCTTCCATGGGGAATCTTCAAGACTGTCATATTATTTGGAGCAGGGCCTAGACCCTCCCCTCTGTGTCTAGGCTGAGAGAGTATCCCTCTATGTGGAAAGGGCTCCTGAAGTCCATTCATATACTAGGGATAAATACTGATCCACTACCAGAGGCCCCACAGATTGTCCAGAGCTCCTAACTGACACCCACGATCAGGGAGTCTTGATCAGTCCTGTGCTGGCTGGTTTCTCAGCCATAAGTCTGAGCTCCCCCTTGTTCAACTCAGCTGTTTCTGTGGGCTTCTCCAGCCTGGTCTTGACCCCTTTGCTCATCATTCCTCCTTCTCTCCAACTGGATTCCAGGAGTTCATTCAGTTCAGTGTTTAGCTGTGGGTGTCTGCTTCTGCTTATATCAGCTACTGGATGATGGCTCTAGGATGGCATTTAAGGTAGTCATCAGTCTCATTATTGGGGAAGGGCATTTATGGTAGCCTCTCTACTATTGCTTAGATTGTTAGTTGGGGTCATTCTTGTAGATCTCTGACATTTCCCTAGTGCCTGATTTCTCTTTAAACCTATCATGGCTCCCTCTATTATGGTATCTCTTTTCTTGCTCTCCTCTATTCTTCCGGGACTCAATCTTCCTGCTCCCTCATGTCCTCCTCTTCCCTCTTCCCCTTCTCTTTTTCCTAACTCCCTCTCCCCTCCCTCCATGCTCCCAATTAGCTCAGGAGATCTTGTCCCTTTCCCCTTCTCCGGGGGACCATGTATGTGTCTCTTAGGGTCCTCCTTGTTTCCTAGCTTCTCTGGCAGTGTGGATTTTAGGCTGGTAATCCTTTGCTCTATGTCTAAAACCTATATATGAGTGAATACATACCAAGTTTGTCTTTCTGTGACTGGGTTACCTCACTCAGGATGGTTTCTTCTAGTTCCATCCATTTGCCTTCGAATTTCAAGATTCCTTTTTTTTCTGCTGAGTAGTACTCCATTGTGTAAATGTACCACATTTTCTCTATCCACTCTTCAGTTGAGGGGCATCTAGGTTGCTTCCAGGTTCTGGCTATTACACATAATGCTGCCTACTGTGATCACAGCTGAACAGATGTCCTTGTATGAATGTGTATCTTTTGGGTATATGCCTAAGAGTGGAATTGCTAGATCTTGTGGTAGACTGATTCACATTTTCCTGAGAAACCACCATATGGATTTCCAAAGTGGCTGTATGAGTTTGCACTCCCACCAACAATAGAGAAGTGTTCTCCCTTCTCCACATCCTCTCCAGCATAAACTGTCATTGGTGTTTTTTTTATTTTAGCCATTCTGACAGAAGCAAGATGGTGGTATCTCAGAGATGTTTTGAGTTGCATTTCCTTGATGGGTAAGGATGTTGAGCACTTTCTTAAGTGTCTTTCAGCCATTGTAGATTCCTCTATTGAGAATGGTCTATTTAGTTCTGTACCCCACTTTTTAATTGAGTTGTTTGGTGTTTTGGTGATTAGCTTCTTGAGTTATTTGTATATTTTGGAAATCAGCCCTCTGTCACATGTGGGATTGGTGATGATCTTTCCCCATTATGTGGGCTGCTCTTTGGGTTTGGGCCACTCACTGGAACCTGGGACTCACCTATTCAGCTAGATGAGCTGATCAGCGAACTTCAAGGACCCAGCTGTCTCCACATCTCCAGCATACACTACCACATCCACCCTTTTTTTTAAGTGGGTCCTGGGGATTGAACTCAGATCCTCAAGATCCTCACCCTTGCAAGGCAAGCACTTAGCAAATGAGCCATCTTGCTGATGGATCACTTTTAGCAACATACAGCTACCTGTCCTCTGTTCATTCCAGGAAGAGTTCTGGACCTTGCCTCTGACTGTCCTGGATGCTGGGGATTGGGAAATCATCAAACTGCTTTCTATAGCTTACGGAAAATGTCTCTTTAGATCCAAGACAAACCTGTGAAGTCCATGGTGACTCAGGGCTGTCATGTGGGCTTCCTAATATTTGAAATCTCTAAACCTTCACTTGGGTATTTTAGTACAGTAAGATGCCCTAGGAGGAGACACTGTCCTGCAGTGAGGGGCTCTAGAAGACACTGTCCTAAAGTGAGGGGCTCTAGGAGACACTGTCCTGCAGTGAGGGACTCTAGGATACACTTTCCTGCAGTGAAGGACTCTAAGAGACACTGTCCTGCAGTGAGGGACTCTAGGAGACACTGTCCTGCAGTGAGGGGCTCTAGGAGACACTGTCCTAAAGTGAGGGACTCTAGGAGACACTGTTCTTAAGTGAGGGGCTCTAGAAGACACTGTCCTGCAGTGAGGGGCTCTAGAAGACACTGTCCTAAAGTGAGGGGCTCTAGAAGACACTGTCCTGCAGTGAGGGGCTCTAGGAGACACTGTCCTGCAGTGAGGGACTCTAGGAGACACTGTCCTAAAGTGAGGGGCTCTAGAAGACACTGTCCTAAAGTGAGGGGCTCTAGGAGACACTGTCCTAAAGTGAGGGGCTCTAGGAGACACTGTCCTGCAGTGAGGGACTCTAGGAGACACTGTCCTAAAGTGAGGGGCTCTAGGAGACACTGTCCTAAAGTGAGGGGCTCTAGGAGACACTGTCCTAAAGTGAGGGGCTCTAGGAGACACTGTCCTGCAGTGAGGGGCTCTAGGAGACACTGTCCTAAAGTGAGGGGCTCTAGGAGACACTGTCCTAAAGTGAGGGGCTCTAGGAGACACTGTCCTGCAGTGAGGGATTCTAGGAGACACTGTCCTGCAGTGAGGGGCTCTAGGAGACACTGTCCTGCAGTGAGGGGCTCTAGGAGACACTGTCCTGCAGTGAGGGGCTCTAGGAGACACTGTCCTGCAGTGAGGGGCTCTAGGAGACACTGTCCTGCAGTGTTTGCTGTTTAGTTCACCACATTGATGTTGACAACTGAATGACCAGGCTAAGGCTCATGCCTTCCATCCCTGTACTTAGAAGGCTAAGGCAGGAGGATGACAAGTTTGGAGACCAGCATGGATTGCAGAGTGAGACTGAATGAGAATCAGTAAAACAACTGAATGATTCTTTTTTGCTCTGGCTGTCCTGGAACTCACTTTGTATACCAGGCTGGCCTCTAACTCACAGAGATCCTCCTGCCTCTGTCTCCTATTTGTTTCTTAAATATTAAGTTCTGTGTACTTGTATATATCTGAGTGGGAGTATATGCATATGAGTGCAGGTGCCTGTGGAGGCTAGAAGACAGTAGAGGATCCCCTGGAGCTGGAGCGACAAGCAGTTGTGAGTTGTCTGGTGTGAGTGCTGGGAACCAAACTCAGGTCCTCTGCAGGAGCAGTAAGTGCTCCTAACCACTGAGCAATCTTTCCCACACCCAAAACTACAAGATTCTACATCATCTTTCCAAGACCCCAAGAGATACCCACCCCTGATTTTTAGCAGACTCCTCCATGTATCTGCCTCTGGTCAACATGCAGACTTTTGCAGCTAACTCTAATTCCTTGTATAGGCATCAGACTCGGGGACAGATGGATTTCTCTCACCTACACAGTGTGTTCCAGATGGAAGGCTGAGAAGCCAGTGCTCCTAAAATGCAGAGTCGTAAAACCACCACTTATGATGCTCCAAGATTCTAGCATCTGGATAGGGACAGAATGGGACAAGGGTAGCTTGACTTAGTGCCATGAGAAATCCTGCAGCAATGTGGAAGCTCTTGGCTCCAGAGATGAGTGGATGGTGCTGCCCCTAGGCTGGGGACTCACCTCTTAACCCTGTGGGCCTCAGTGGGCTGGGCTATGCCTCCTCCCAGCATGGGGCTGGGTGTCAAGAAGTGGAGGGGGCCAGGCTGGAGAGATAGCTCCATGGTTAAAAGTGCTTGCTGCCCTGGTTAAGTTCCCAGCATCTTCATAGTGACTCACAATTGCCTATGACACCAGCTCTGGGGTATCTGGCCTCCGTAGGTAACTGTCCTCATATACACATACCCACATAAAGATACACATACATAGATAAATGAAAATAACTCTTAAATAAAACAGATCATGGCTTAAATGAATGAGTTCATCCTATAGAGAATAATAATAAAAAAGAAGTCTCCATTTTCTTAAAAGGAGTTGAGGATGTGTCTTCCACTCTCAGTGCCTAGCTAACCTGTGGAAACTACTTTCGGCTGAGACCACGGCACTGGAGCAGGATGCTCAGTCACACTTTGTCTGAAGACGGTTTCTGCACCCAATGCCTCAGTCAAGGCAACAGTGCAGCCCCACACCAGAGAAATGCTGGAAAAACGTGAGAGCCTGGAAGATGGTTGGAGCCTTTTGGGGAAAAGCAGAGTCATCAGAGAACAAGTGGAATGCCTTGGCAGGTGTCAGTTACTAGTGATGTTCTTTTTTGCCTTTAACTTGTTTGTTCTTTGTAACCTGGATACCCCTTTGTGACTCTGGCTGACCTTGGACTCAGCTCCTTCTGGCTTTGCCTCCCCAGTGCTTGGATTAAAGGATTGCACCAACACTCCTGACACAGTTGTATGCATTTTGAAAAGCAACCTCAGATTCCTGAGACAGGATGTGGGTACCTAAGCACATGGCACACAATGCCACGGTTGACTGAGAACTCTTCATGGGGAAGTAAATGGTCTTTGGCTCCATAACTCATCATGCTGGAAGTGCTCCATATCAAGGATGAAGAAACAGGGGCTAAGAATATGACTCAGCTGGCTGACCACCTGCCTAACATGTATGAAGCCCTGGGTTCGAATTCCAGCCCTGCTGCATAAACCAGGCACAGTGGCAGAGTCCTGTAAGTACAGCTATTCAGGAGATAAGGCAGAAAAAAAAACACAAGTTGGAGGCTAGCCTGGGCTACAAAGGAAGACTCTGTCTCAAAATAAAAAGTAAAAGGAGGGTCGGGGGTGTAGTGCAGTGTAGAGCATTTGCCTAGCATGCACAAGACCCTAGGATAAAATTCCCAGTGCATATGTACGCACACACACACACACACACACACACACACACACACACAAACTTCCCTTTAAAAATCTATTTTTGCCAACCTTTGATCCACTTAGCCAAGGTCTTTTGGCCAAATGTTGGAGTTGGCAGATCTAACGAAATGCAGTCCATGGAGCTCAGTGGCTGAAACCTTGGGAGAAACCCCTCATGAGTGGGTGCTGGGTGAGGGCTATGGTAGGGAATGGTGGCCTCACGGAAGAGCAGGTGGACCTGTGCCTCTGTTGGCACCGACTTCTGTTCCTATTTTTGATGGAGGATGTGGGAGACTCCAGAAGACAAACAGCTTCGTTATCCGCTCTTTCACTACTCTTGGAAATACTCAGAATGCCTGGCCCTCCAGTCAAGCCCCAGCTTGGAGCCTAAAAGCTAAATCCAGATATGTCATATATTTATCCAAGGCAGCCATTGGCCAGGAAATGACTATAAAACACACATTTTGAATAAAACGGGAGATTTATGGTGCTTTTGTGAATCTGAGCCATATCTCTCTGCCTCCCCCAGGCCAAGATCCCCTTAATCACTAACATACCCCCAGCTTGGATGCTCAGTGGGCACAGAATTACTTCCTTCTGGTTCTGTCCCAGCAAAGGATATGATGGGGATGGCCCTAGTTCAGCTGCAAATGCATCGTTGGTTCATTTGGAACTCCAGTGGGGGCTTCCCCCCCCCCTTTGGAGGGCAAAAAAGAGGGAGAGCTTTTATATAGATCTTTGATCAGACAGGACTTGAAAAATATTCTTCTAGGGGTTTCTTTATCCGTAATACCAAGGGGCTTGGGGGGAGGGGGTTACTTGCCAGAAACAGCTTCTATGTGCATGGAGTTAGAACAAGGTCTCCACCCCCATAACCTCCATCTTCTTTCTTCAACTGTACTTTTATTCAAGGAAAAGAGGCAGGTATTATCAAGGAAAGTTGGAGAAAGCTGAACTTACAGATGTTTATTTCAAATGGAACAACAATGCTGAAAAAAATGACTATCCTATGAGTCTCCATGATCTACCTGGCTCTGCCTCTAGCACTAGGGATGCACCATGCTAGGCTGCTGTGTGGGTGCTAGGGAGCTGATCTCAGGTCCCCACATGTGAGCGGCAGGCTTTGTAGCTCATCATGGCATGTGGATAATGGCTAGAGTCACCCATGTTTCTGTAGGTAGTTCCAGCAAACTGAGTGGGTCACCAAGCTAGGCTTGGGTGAGGTCATTCTTACTGGTGGTGCCCTATCTGAGGTGAGCAGATGTGACTACACACACACACACACACACACACACACACACACAGGTCATACGACAATAGATACATCCTATGACAGACAGAACCCTTCCAAGAGGTGGGATGTGTCCTCTGAGGAGCACATCTGTGTGTGAACAGTTGGGATGTTCTTGCCCCTGCAGCGCCCTCCTAGCTCTAGACACCTGCAGTCCTGGAAATTAAAAAGAGTCAACAAGGAAAGAAGGTTCTCCAAACTGCCTTGAGGAAGTGAAGTGGTAGCTGTGATACTCCTGGTGATGATGGTGGTGATGGAGATGATGGTGATAGTGATGGCAGCAATGGTGGTGGTGACGGTGATAATGATGACGGTGGTGAGGGTGATGGTGGTGGAGATGGTGATTACAGTGGCGATGGTGGTGATGGCGGTGGGGATAGTGATGGTGGCTACAGTGATTGAGATAGTGATAACGGTGATGGTGGTGGTGGTGACGGTGATGGCAATTATAATGGTGGTGATGGTGACGGTGGGGATAGTGATGGTGGTGATGGTGGTGGTCATAGCGATTGTAGTGATGATAATAATTCCAATAATGCCAGTGGTGATGATGGTGACAGTGGCAGTGGACACAGTAATAAGTGTTATGTTTTCCTCACCCCGACTCAGCTTAAATCCACTGTAAAATAATAAAAGATTGTGGGGTGACTTTCTGAAGAAGAGAAAGTCAGGGAAGAGAAAGGAGAGTAAGAAGCAATGACGGTAGATGCCAATTGCTGTTCTTATCAGCTGAGGGCTCCCGGGCCTTTCCTCTATGCCAGGCTTCTGCAGCCTATGCTCGTGTCTTCCCTGACTCCTCACTACAGTCCTGCGATAAATGATGGAATATTCCATCCCAAGGATAGTTAAATGGAAGGCCACAGAGGTTAAGTGGCTTACCCAAGGTCAAGGGGACAGAAAGGGGTGAAGTGAATGTAACAATCCAGGCCACAAAACGGAGATAAGTGCCTAGTACAGAGTTGTGTGTGCAAGAGAGGGTGTGTGTGAGTGTTGAGTGTATGGGTGTTTGTGTGAGTATGTGAGTGTGAGTGTATGTGTGTGAGGGTGTGTGAAGGAATGTGAGTGTGTGTGAGGCTGTATGTGTGAGTGTGTGTGAGGCTGTGAGTGTGTGTGAGGCTGTGAGTGTGTGTGAAAAAGAGAGGATGTGAATGTGAGTATGCGTGTATGAGTATGTGTGTGTGAGGGGGTGAATGTGTATGCGTGAGAGGGTGTGTATGTGTGTGTGTGTGAAAGGATATGAGTTTGTGTGAGGATGTATGTGTGAGTGTGTATGAGGGTTGAGGGTGTGTGAAGGAATGTGAGTGTGTGTGAGGCTGTATGTGTGAGTGTGTGTGGGTGTGTGAAGGAATGTGAGTGTGAGGGGGTGTCTGTGTGTGAGAGGGTATGAAGAGATGTGAGTGTGTGTGTGTGTGTGTGACTGTGTGTCTGTGTGAGGGGATGTGAAGAGATGTGAGTGTGTGTGTGTGTGAGAGAGAGAGAGAGAGAGAGAGAGAGAGAGAGAGAGAGAGAGAGAGAGAGTATTATGCTTGCTAACAAGGAACATGGAGCTCAGCCCAGGACAATAGCCTCCCTGCACCAAGAGGACCAAACAACCACACTGGGAAGTCGAGGCATAAATATTCAGGCATCTCCTTGACTCTGAAACAGAACATTCTGTGGTTAACAGCTGGCCAGCTGGCACTGACTCCAGCCTGTCTCGGATCAGGCCGACAGTGCCACAAGTGAGGAGCTCTACCACGGGCAGTGCGGTCTTAATGCGTGTCTGTCGACAGAACAAATGAGTGCGGAGTAGACAGCCACCGCTGTGCACCTGTTTCTCAGCCTCCCACTGCTGCCTGCCTTTCTGCGTGAAATGCTGATTCTGCCAGTTCCCATTTATCACTAGACACAGCTCAAATGCCACACACACACACAACACTTTCTCTTACACACACACAGATGCATGCACACTCACACGCATATACACTAACGTCCACACACACACATGTTCACATCCACACACACACATACATGTTCACATTCACAAACACACACACATACATTCTCAAGTTTACACACATACAAATTCACACTCACACACCACCACAGACCAGGTTAGGTCTGTTTGTCCTATCCCTCAGTGACACTGTGAACTCTATCTTCACAATTTCCCAACACTACCATGGAACCTTAGGGTTCAATTGCTGTGAAGAGACACCAGGACCACAGCAACTCCTATAAAGGAAATTAGGGGTTTAGTTCATTCTCATCAAGGCAGGAAGCATGGCAGCGGGCAGGCAGACATGGTGCTGGAGAAGGAGTTGGGAGTTCTAAATCCGGATCAGCAGGTGGCAGGAAAAGAGAGCATTACTGGGCCATGCTTGGGCTTCTGAAACTCCAAAGTCCACCTCCAGTGATACACCTACTCCAACAAGGCCAAACCTCCCAACAATGCCTCTGCTTATGAGCCTGTGGGGACCAGTTTCATTCATAAGACTAAAGACCTTTGATTTCATTAAGGTACAAGCATCCAGGAATACTGAATTCCTATCACCTTATTTGTCCCTGCATCCCCAGTATGTGTACTGAGTCCAGGTCAGAGAGAGCTCACCCTAGACAGATTGAGAATGTAGCAATGACTGCTGTACCCCTTAACAGTCACAGAGTGAGGAGACATGAGCATTTGGGTATTACACCCCAGCCCCCCTGGTTCAATGGAAAACTCCATGGTAGCCAGGATTGAAGTATAAAGACAGATTTGAGAATTTCCCTTTAAAGATTAACGAAACTTGCGAACGTGCTCCTAGTTAAAATCCTTAATGATTTTGGGGGTGGCAGCAAGTGTTTGAGGGGTGGAGATGGGAATCAAATCGCTCTGTGACCCAAAGAGCTAACACCTAAAATGTTCCAAAATCCAAAACCTCATGAGTGCCAATCTTTGACCCTGAGTAGAAAATTCTACACCTGATTTCATACACTTAGGCAATGGTTAATGTTGAAACTCAAGTGTGCTGAAAACGGTACACAAAATTACCTCCAGACTGTGTCTAGAAAGTATACGTAAAACGTGGATAAACTTCATGTTTGCACCTGGGTCCCATCTCCCCAGATACCTCATCACGTAATGGCAACTATCCCCCAATACCAAATGCCTAGAATCTAGTCCCAAGCTTTCCCAGTAAATGATGCTCCTGTGTTTGGAGAGCCACTGCCCACCCACCCCCAAACCCCCACCCCTGCTTGAGCTTTTGAAACCACAAAGTGTTTGGGTCAGTGTTTGGAGTTCAGTTTGTTAAATGAGGTTTTTTTGGGGGGAGGGTCATCTCTTCAAAGACAAGCTGTTTCTCAAATTAACGCAGAATAATAAATACATGGCACCATTCAGTATTTATGTGGTGTGACCTTCCTAATTCACACCCTCGGGGACAGCAAAGCCATTGACCTAGTTTCTCTATTGTACATGAAAGATTTTGTGTGCTGTTTCATCATGATTAATTCACACTTCTCTGGAAGTCTGTGCCCAGGAAAGGTACCTGGTGGACCTGATTAAATAAATAATGTGTAATCAACAAGCCAATTGCTTTTTTTCCCCAAGTGGATGAGACACACATGGATGTTTTGGTCATCTGAGGAGTGTGGGAATCAAAACAATTACAACAGTAGATGTGGGGCATGGCTCAGTGCCACAGTGAAAACGTTCCTAATATTTATGAGGTCCTGGGTTCCAGCCCCAGCATCAAAAACGAATTATAGAAACAAAACAAGCTGGTTGGTGTGGCACCTGTCTTTAGTCCCAGAACTCGGGAGGCAGAGGCAGGGGGATCTCTGTGAATTTGAGGCCAGCCTGGTCTACAGAGCGAGTTTCAGGACAGTCAGAACTACATAAAGAGAGACCTTTGCTCAAGCAAAACAACAACAAAAATACTGGTCCATAAGTTGTAGGCATAGAGAGCCTCTCAGCACAGCTCACCTGAAAACAGGAAAAGACACCTTAGAAACACAGGCCAAGGTGGTAGCTATTGTAGGATAGAATCCACTTTTACACTAGCTTGCGTTACGGTTCGATTATGAAATGCAACCAGGCTGGATCCCAGGTGAATTCAGTTTTAAACACATCGCATCCCAGGGTTCTAATCCCGTGAGCGATGTATTACAGCCCACCCTGCTTGGGAGCGGTGAGTCTGAAATACCTGTAAGGATCAGCGGGATAGAACGGGATAGAATGGATGGCGGGCAAAAGTCAGCTGCAAGCCTCCCTGCTCCCCTGCCCAACAGCCATCCACCCCCTCTGCTTAGCCGAAAACAGAGAAACAAGCAAAAAACGGTGTCCACGTCTCGTGTACTCTTAAGCACATGGTATTTATTAGGCATTAATGGGCACACAAATGTAAGAAACGAGTACTTGATTCTCACCCACCCACCCCATTAGAGACACAAAAAAGACAAAAATCGCATAGGACACTCACTTGCAAACACACTCACTCGCTCACAGAATTCCACATCTTCACCCACACATATTACCCTGTTCTGTTTATTAGGGCCAGTTTAAAAAAAAAGGAAGAAAAGAGACACAATATTCTTTTTTAAAGACCAAGAAAGGAAAGCACATTCAAAAGCAAGAGGGGGCAGGGACATAAACGCAGTTTTGAGTTCCAATAAAATTAAAAGGTCTTGGTCAGCCCCCAGGCTGGGTTTCATGTTACTACTTAATTAGAATTCCTATTTATAAATAAATAGTACCAGTAAAATATTACATCTGAGAAACCCTACAATAATGTAGTACTTACACACTTTTTGTTTTTAATACTGCTTTTCTGCTTTTGATGCGTGTGGTTTTGTGTCCCAGGTGATTGGCGCTGGGGCGACTTCTTGCAGGCGGAGGCACCGGTAATATGGCTTCCTCTCCTTCAGCACCTGGAGCTGTTTCACTGTGCATCCCGATGATCGGGTCACAGAGAGGGTTTGAGCCAGCCTGGGGCTGACTTCCTGGCTGTCTTCTTTGCTTTGCTTTTTAATCACGAAGTATATCTATTCTTGCTTTTCTTTTTCCTCCCCTACAACTTGGAAGTGGGGAGCTTGTCCCCTTCTCTGGATCACAGTTCTGTTCCCCTGTGTCACCCAGGGCTCTTTCAGTTCGTTGAAGCAAGGTTTCCGGCTGAGAAGCGATAGGCCCCGTTCTAACCATAGATGGCTGGGGAGACCTGGAGAAATTGTGCTAAGAAGACGACGTGGCAGGTGGAGTCCGATATCCTAACTCCATCCACTCAGTAGAAGGCAACTTTGAATGCCATGAAGCTGGGGAGGGCGGATCAAAACCAAAAGAAAAAAAAAGCAAAACTCAATCCAAAAACCTAGCAGGTACCTCTGGGACCTTCGTAGACTTCTCACGTGACGGAGGTAGGCATTTTTGTTAGAGGAGGGTGTTGGATGTACATTTTAGCTCATTTATTGAAGGGAAGCCCCAAAAGTACTTGTTTTGAGACATACTTGTCTCTGCTCTCCCTCCATTAAGGGACTGGGTCCCAGTAAGAAAATTCAAAGAAAAAAAATATATTATTATTTATTATATAACAAAGTCAACATTAACACCAAGACAGAGAATGTCTCTCAGCGTGCACCGGGGTCAAACACTCAATGAGGCAGTATGTTCTAGAACCCAAAAGAAACAATCGGGGAGCAGGTCTGGGGTGCTGTGAGTGCGCCTGGTTGATGACAGTGGGTGTTGTGGGGGTAGGACTCGTCTCTTTTCCTGTTTTGTAGGTTTTGAAACAAAACAACAGAGCCACAGTTTCAGAATGGCGACTTCACTGATCGGATCAGTGGCTGTGGGAGCTTCAGGTCCAGAGGTGACGATAGGTGGCATGAGTTTCTCATCTGTGGGGTTCTCATCGCTACTGTCCCTCATCTCTCTCTCTCTCTTTCTCCTGCCCCGCTCTCCCTGGCAAAAGTCTGCCTTTAACTATTCTCACTCCACTCTGGCACCATGCCAACACCGTGTACTGAGTGATACTGGTGTGGGGACAGGGTCCTGGGCACGCCATGAGAGTAGAGGAACTCGGGGGGCTGGAGGCCACCTGGAGACTGAAGGCCAGTCTGAGGCCCGCATTGCCTGACCACAGGCTGATGGGCCACTGATGTCTGGTGCTGGAACATTCCCTCACCAAGCTGAGGAGACCCATGGTTGGCCATGCCAGCTAGCCGGGGGACCAAGGGCCCCGAAGAGAAATGAGCAGAGAAGTGCTGGTAGGGTAGACGGTCCATGGGCTGCACTGTGGTGACCGTGCAACTGCTGTAGGGGGGCATGCTGGGCCATGTGTTACAGCTGATGTCCTCCAGGCTGGGCACAGGCTCGCTGGGAGGTGCCGAGCTGGCATACATGCAGGCCTGCCGCTGGGCGGACTCTGTCCTGTAAGTGGCACTCAGGCCCTGCTGCTGGGGGTAGCCCGGGCGGTAGAAGGCATCCTCCTCACTGGGGGATGTCTCCATGTATGGCTTTTTATAGGGGTGCTCGGTGCTGGAGCATTCTTCATCTGCAAAGACAGGAAAGAAACTGGTCACCCCACACCACAGCCAGGACCAGAGATAGTCACTTGACCCGAGACTTGAGGCTATCAGCTCCAACCTTCATTCTGACAAAAAAAAGGTGGAGCTACGACTTTTGACCTTGAACTAACTAAAATTCTCTACTTACAAAATTCCCACAGAGAGAAACATTGAGAATTAAATAGGAAAATGTGTCCACTAAGCAATCAATCCAGAGACTGGTACAAAGAAAAGTGCTACAAAGCACATTATCATCATCACCATCACCACTGCCATCATCATAATTGTTACCATCCATCATCACCATTACCATCATCACCATCATTACCATTACCACTGCTGTCATCATCATCACTACCGTTATCACCATCATCACCAGCCTTATTATTCATGTTAATAATTAACAGTAGCACCATTGTTTCAACCCTCTTATACATTATCTCGTCCATCCTCTATCATCCCAAACCTGGCATATATGCAGCTATATTGTTAATAACAATAGTACAAGCAACAACAAGAAAAGCAAACACATATAGTGCCGACCATGCCTGGCTGTGTTCCAACCTCTTCCCTCAAGGTGACCCACTCAATCCTCATAGCAACCTTATGAGGTGGGTTAGTCCTGTTTTATACATGAGAGAAAAGGAACACACAGGTTCAGAAGCTTGCCCAAGGGCTTACATAGCGGCTGATAAAGGTGGATCTGTGACTAGTGATCTGGCTACCTCACTATAAAGTGATTGCTCATCAATGTCACAGTATGTGAAGGAAACAATAAATATCCATGCAGTGGATAGGTGGATGAATGGTGGATTGATAGGTGGGCCAGTGGGTGGATGAATGGTGGACAGATGGATGGATAGACTGACGGTGGATGGGGAGCTGGATGGTGGCTGGGTAATGAGTGGATGGATAGATGAGAGATGAATGGATGGATAGCTAGATAGATGCTTGGGTGAATGGTGGTTGACTGGATAAATGATGGATAGATGGGTGACCGGATAATGGATGGATAGATGGATGGGTGGGTGACTGGATAAATGATGGATAGATGGGTGACTGGATAATGGATGGATAGATGGATGGGTGGGAGACTGGATAATGGATGGGTGGGTGACTGGATAATGGATGGAATAGATGGATGGGTGGGTAGATGGATGTAATTTAAACAAATCCTCTTTACTAGTTGGTTAGTTAATACCAATCCCTGTATCTGTGTCTTAGGAAATGGATCATGCCCCTTCTCTGGGTACTAGTTAGTCTCAGTACAGGGTAATTGAGATAACTTCATCTTTAGAATATTCTCCATTAGGTACTTTGGGACTCTTGGCCCTCTTGGGAGATAACCAATGTGCTGGGGTGGGTCATTTTCTAGAAAAATTCCCAGAAACAGCATGTTTTAAAAATTGCATGCACACTCAGTTTTCTACAGCTTTCAGGTGGGGGCAAAAACTTACTAAAACAGAGTCCCAGACACATTTGGAATTATCTGACTCTTCTCTTAGTGTGTTGTTGTGGGGAGTGAGAGGTGGGGGGAGGAGTCAGACCTCCAACAACCATCTCATCACTTCTGATGCAGGTTAGTGATGTGGACCTCACTCGATGGTAAGATGAAATTGAGGAGAGAATGGGGAAGTGGATTTGGGCAAAACATATCACATGTATGCATTCCAAAATTCATAACAACAGAAGGAGAAGAGGAGGAGGAAGAAGAGGAAGAGGAAGGGGAGGAAGAGGAAGAAAGATGGATGTTGCAAGTGCCCTGATAACCTAAAAGCTGGGACAACATGGCACATCATTCCCATGGAAGACCTTGTCTCTAACTGCTGTCAGCTGCTTCCTTAAGATCATACCTGGAGGTACCTGCCAAGCTGTCATCTCAAACTCACCCATTTCTTAGGATTCCTCAAGGAGGTAGGGATTTGACTTTCCTGATTGGAGATTATCGCTCCTTGACTTCTGATCTCTTTCTAATCAGCATATGCCGACAAATTACATCTGGAGCTGGGATTACAGCCCAATGACAGAATTCTTGCACCAGATTTGATTGATTTGTGTGTACGTGTGCGTGTGCGTGTGTGTGTGTGTGTGTGTGTGTGTGTGTGTGTGTGTGTGTGTGTGTGTGTGTGTGTGTGTGTGAAATGAGGAGGGGAGGTAAAGAAAGGTGAGGAGTCAAAGGATCTGTATCAAGAAAAGAAACTCCATCAGCCCCTTCTGGGAGCCAGGACCGTGTGCAGTGTGGCTGAGTTTAGTTTATCTGAACCTTTTTTTTTTCTGTGTGTTTTGACACAAGGTCTCATTCTGTAGCTCAGACTTGTCTAGAACTTGCAATCCTCCTGCCTCGGCCTCCTGGGTGCTAATCCTCTCTGGGTTTCTCACTTTGTCAGTGGGGACAAGGCGTCTCAGAGCACTGGTTAGCATCCAGTAGGCTGTGACTTCCCCAATAGGTGGCCCACCTTTGGGAGTCATTGTGAATACGGGCTAACTTAACTTCGGACTCCTCTCTTAAATGAGACTGCACTTCAGGCTCCTGGTGGGATGTGTCTTTGGGGGTTTGGTGTGAAGGTACAGGCTTGTGGGTATGTTGTGTGCTTGTCTGGGGTGAGCTCAGTCAGTGGCAATTGTTTTGTTCCAGAAATTAGGGAGGAAGGGAGCAAGGGAGGGAGAGAGGGAAGGATGGAGGGAGGGAGGGAGAGAGGGAAGGATGGAGGGAGGGAGGGAGGAAAGGAGGGAGGGAAGGAAGGAAGGAAGGAAGGAAGGAAGGAAGGAAGGAAGGAAGAAGAAGGGGAAAGATAGAGGAAGGATAGAGAGGAGAGGAAACTATGACTGTTTTTGAGATGTACAAAGAAAAAAGTGAAGCATTGTCTTGTCCATGCATCTTTCTTGGATTGTCAGTAGTCATGAAGCTGGATGTTAGACTAAACAATATGAGGAATAAACTACTTACTAAACACCTATAATGCTACCCTGCACCATCTTACAGTAGCCCTTCAAAGTGTCTGTCTTTGTTCCCATTTCTCAGAAGCAGGAAGTGAACCTCAGAGAAGTGACAAGTACGGGAATCAAAGTGGGTGCTGACATCCTGTGCCTATGAAGCCCTGTCTCTGTGCTTTCCAGCTTTCCAATGCTAATGTCTTCCACCTAGCCACTCAGCAGGTATTTCCTGAGCTCTGCCAAGTGCCAGACAGTGTACCTGCTGCTTTGGATGGAGCTATGAGCCAGACAGACATATGTTCCCCCAACCCCACTCCATCCAACAGGGGACAGTGAATAAAGAAAGCTAACTATCTTGTCACTCAGAGAAAGTACTGGAGCATAGAGCTTTAAGTAAGCATCCACATGCCGGTGAAAACCCTCAAATGGATAGATAATAAGTGTAGATCTGGTTTCAGACACACAGCGCCACAGGTAACTGCATTCTCCAGGTGACACCAGCAGGCAGCTGGGAAGCCTCCCCACACACTGTGGATTATGCCTGCCTAATGGCATGGCACGCACGTTTATTTTTAGCTAGACATTTTGCAACACATCTGGGAACCATAGGGTTCCCAAACTTTGGTACCAAAAAAAAAAAAAGAATCAAAACACACCCCCAAGAAAACTGCAGTCACTCCTGCAGGTGTCCTGTGCACACAATGCCAACCACGCAGATGTTTGAAGACATCCAGATGTTTTGCAGTGTTTACTTTTTATTTTTCAACCTTTCAACTAGCTAGGGCTTTGGGACTCTTGACATTGCCACCCTCGGCTCACTTCCACGCCTGCCACCTCCTCTCTTAATTCCTTCCTTCCAATCTTCCTTCGGCCAACCTTAAACCCAAAGATCTCACTGTTGCAGCCTCACAGCCTTGGATTTTTTTTATTATTATTATCATTAACTAGGGCGTTCCCCTCCTCAATAACAGAAAGTACAGCTGCAGGGTACCCTTGGCAAGAGAAAAAAAAAGGCGAAAAGGAACTTTTTTTTTTTTAGTTTTTGATCCCTTCCAGATTCATTACAAGTTTTAAAAAGGGGTGGGAGGGAGGGGGAGAATAATAAGAAAAAGGTCGGAGCACGGTTTGGAAAATCGTAAAATTATACATTCCAACCTTTAAGGCTCAGAAAGGTCCGGTGCAGGGTGCTCAGAAAAGCTCCAAGCTGGGTCGCTGGTGAGCACTGGCCCCGAGGAGTCTCACATTCCTCCCAGGCTTCATCATACTGTAAAGGAGTTCTACCAGAGGGGCCAGGCTTCAGGTCAACCATGATCAACGCACTGTGTGCAACCTCGGTGTTTGTCTGGGGGGAAGACCCAGTTTCATTCTTTTTAGCATCTGGGTCAGGTTAGCTTCCCTGGTTGTGGAAAGAGCCATAACCAGGCGTCAAGCGTTCTAATGGGACTAGCCAAAGACCTGACGATTCTGCTTCACACACAGTGTGCTAAGAAAGAACACTCAAGGACACTTGCAACCCGTGAATCCAGGTAATTCTTTTGTGTAACAGGGAAGTTCTTCCTGAGTCTGACCACCCAATTGCAATAAAGTATCATGGGAAATGTGGGACTCCAATGCTTATGCTCCAAGTAGCCATGGATGCAGGCCTGAACTGGTCCAAGCTCAGTCCCTGACTGTACAAGGGGACAATACCCAAACTCTTCCTTAGGTTTAATTAAGGAAATACCAAGTATGGTCTCCTGTCTGTCTGCCTTGCACAGTAAGTCAGCTCAGCACTTGAAGTAAGAAATCTCTTACTTCAAATCTTCTCTTTTCGTATAACCCATGCCTACTCCCTTTCTCTAATTTTCTCTCTTAGCATACTAGGCAGATGGCTCTCTGAAGGTCATCCCGTACTCAGAGGTATTTGGGTGGATTCCAGAGCTGGAAGCTTCCCAGGGCCACTTTTCATGTCACTGATCCCATTGAGCAAATATAGTCACAGTTCCCAAGTGGGTCATATCCCTTGCTGGCTGAGTTCATACAGGGAAATGTTGTGGCATCTCCACATACAGAG